ACTCCCTTCAGAAGAAAGGTTCTCGGTGACCTATGGAATTGTAAAAGATGGCATGGGGCAGATAAGGTGGCCCTTGAAGTGCGAATTCGAGTCAGTTTTGCAACAAAAAGGTCAAGGCGCCAAGATTGAGCTGCCTTGGTGACCCTGCCTCCAGACTCCGCCTTTGATATTAGTGTTTTCTGCGCCTGGAAGGAATGGTCGCGGGGCGTGCAGCCATGATTCCTGCAAACGATAGATAGTGTGGCGAGGAGCAGATTCGAGTGCCAAGGAGCTTTGTCCCAGTTTCAGGATACTTTCAACCCCGGAGCCTCCCTCCCCTTCCTTTTTCTTCTCCTTCCTTCTTTTCCTTCCTTCCTTCTCTCTTCCCTCTTCCTTTTCTTTCTCCCTTCAACTGCTGAGCCAGTAGATGGGATGAGAGAATACCTCTGGATTCTCGCAGTGAGACCATGTCTGGTTGAAAGCCTGTGCTCTTCTCTCTCTTCCCCCCTCTCATACGCCATACCCTTTGTAGGGATCTTAACTAAATGTAATAGCAAAACCTACCCCTCTGCTTGATCTTGCCTGGTGATAGTCTGCATTATTCACAAATTGAAAAAAGAATTTCAGAGTATGGCGTCATCAGTGTCCGGTCCCAGGGAGCTCATATTTCAATCGTTGCTAAATCACTACGAAAGGGACGTGTTGGTGGTCTGCACACCAGAACATCTCAACTTCTCCTTCACCGATGGGGCGGAATACTGTTCGAAAACTGCACACAACATCACATGTTATGGATTCGTCTTTTGATAAAAAGTTTGTTGAGAGAAAAAATAAAATATTGACTGTAAACATCTCGGTTCACATTATGTCTTGGGTTCGAGATGAAGAACTCCCTCCATTTCGCCAATAACTACAGCGATGTGCCGCTTATTTGTTTCCCATCAAAATTTTTTCGCTTGAATAATGCCTTCCATGAGGATTGCCGGAGATTCAACGTTCACACTCCGTGGTAACATGTGATCGCTAAAAACGGCTATTTCGCTACCAAAGGTGCCTAGAGACTGCAGTTAAGGGAGGGTATTCTGTGCGGCGCCAAAAATGCCGGGAACGTTACTGGTGCAGTTCTATTCATTGATTGGAAAGACGTTCAGAGCATTTGGTAGCTATGCTGGCTATGCGAAATATTATCGACGAAGTTTTGATTTTTCCTGTATGACATGTGGTCAACGACTATTATCGTATACTTTTTACCGTATACTTTACAGCCAACAAAAAAAACGCACAAAACACATAGATTTGGAAATGGCAGGGGAGGAATGCTTAACCTTCTGCTGACCATGGAACCTTCTGCTGACCATGGAAAGCGCTATGTGGGTTTCTGTTCTTAAACCATCTAACTCCTACCTTACTTCTAACGCCTGAAGATCTAATTAGAAACAAGAAAAACAAACATTGGGGAAAGGAATACACTCCAAAGCACAGATGATCCGTTTCGCCCGTTATCGCAGATCATCGATGTCTTACCAACCCCCGGGCTCTTCAGTGCGACAGGGTTGACGACATGGACATGGACTACATAGGGAAGGAGTTAAGAATTAGGATAAAATGAGAAAAAAAATGTGAACAAAAGTCTACAGTGCAAAAATCATGCAACAAAAATAGAAGGAACTGTACAGGAAAAATGAAAAAGGGATATAACAGGTGTGACTACTGAATATGTGTAAGAGGAAAAATAGATTGTTGCTAAAAAATAAAACAGATCGGTATGAATGGCAGCAACAAGCGGCTCTTTGTAACCGCAAGTTTTATTACTGTGCACTTGGGATAGCTTTCCTGGGCTATTGTTCCCTAATCTCTCCCTAACTGACCATGGTTGTTTGCGTTGCACATACCGACGATGGCCCGCCATATTATGTACTTGGCCACGCCCTTACCGGTAAGCTCCGCCTCCGCCAGAGAGAATCCTCACTCTCATAGACTGCATCGGCTTTTCAAGGATACTATTACGGTAGACCTCGATCGTATTTCTCGCACTTCTGACTTCAACGGGCTCTTCGATCAAGTTTTCCGTACCTCGATGTCTTCCGATCTTATTTCCTACGATTTATATTAGCCATGATACTTTTGATATTCTTCTTCCTGATCTCATTGGTTGCCGGTGGTTTTCCGCCAATCATAGAAGACTCATGTTTTCTTCGTCCCGCTCAATGTAACCTAATCTGTACAACTGGCTATCAGCGAAGCAGTACTGGCAGCTGTGTATGCGCTCATGTGCCACGGATCATGCCCAGGTAGAGTAATTCGTTCCGACTTGACTGGTTCGAAAATAAGGTTGGGGAAGGAATATCAATTCCTTTACAGGCCAAACTCTGTGCTGTTGGAGAGCACTGCGTTACGATAGCGGGTGTGGCCAGATGTCTGCAGAACGCAGGTAAGAGCAGTAAGCTTCTCTGCTTTCTCTTCTTGAACTTTATTTCAACCATTTCATTACGAATGGCTTTTCCTACCTGATGAATATCCTGTTTGTTCTATCAAATTCTTGTTCTGATCTCGAAGTTCTCTATGCTGTCTCCATAGTCGCACTGACGTCCCGGTTTCTGACTCTGCCTAGCCACATCTAGCCATCTTAAATCCTCATTTTTCACCAAACTAGAGTTAGTTATATATAGTCGGTTATATTAAGTCTTTACTCGACGATGCCTGTCGTTACTAACCTTTCTGTATGAATATTTTAAAGTCTCATGAATATTACTCTGGCTTTTTGGCCCTTTGTCCATCTACCACCACTTATGCGAGAGCACGTGGAAAACAGGGATGCAGTCGGAGAACCTACATATGAGATGTGTTCTGTCGCTGGAAAAGGACGCCTTATTCGGCTTCAAGGGACTTTCTCCATACCGCGGCGAGACCAATTCCCCTGCTAGCATTTTGCTTGTCTTACGTTCAATGTTTCATAGAACAAAATACGTTTCTCTCTTCTCTTTCGTCCACCTCCCACTTCGCTTAGCAACGCTAGTTCCGGATAAACTGGTGGGGATTTTCTGCGAAAGTTGATAGAAGGTTCCAATTACCTTTGAGTTATGGGATACTACGTGAGAAGGGGTCGTGGTACTCCGGAGGTACCCCGTTCGGGAGGAAACTGTGTTAGATGGGTTAGCTAGCCTAGGCATCTTGCCCATCAGGGTGGTGGAGTACGGTCATTGGCACGGGAAGTCCGAATAGTCCCTCTATTCGAACAATGCTGCTGTTTTACCGCTTGGATTACGCTGCCCTCTGTTGCTAGAGCGCTTCCGATAACTTTTGTGTGACCAGTTCGAAGCGTTCTCCGGTGCTCCGAAGCCATGGCCACGGGAGGCCCTCTTTACACTGGGTGGGAGGTAGTTTGCTGACTACCCAGTGAAACGAAGGATGAGCATGAAGTGTGAAGGGCTCATAGATGCAGCGGGCATATATCTCCCATTACAAACGTCGAGGCGATCAATTCTAAACCAGTATTAAGCCGTGCAAAGGGTACCAAATCTGAAGTTAGCATTTCTGCCCTCTCAAGTAAGTTATCTAACAAACAATTCATGCCAAAGGAGATTAGAGGACCAGCTGGATGCGGTAAACTTTCCTGGTCATTGCTCTAATTAAATCATTCATAAGACGCTTTATGAGACTGCTTGAAGGATTTCATCAATTTTCAAGATATTCGTAAATTGACCTGACCCATGTTTATGTGGGATCAACAACGCCGCCAATTTGGCGGTACCAATCAATTTCCTGACCGACGAACAGAAATTGGTGTTCTGACCATGAACTCGTGAAAAGAATCATGGGCACGTACGCAGTTTTCACTGCGGTAACATTTGGCGACACTGACGAGTAGAGTACGAGGCACCCTCCTCGACGCCTTGTACTGTTCCGCCTTATTAGAAGGAGGAACAATATGGGGAATACTTATTTCTCAAATGGAGTTCGATACGAGATTTTACCACTACTGCTACTCCATACATACCTCCACCACCTATAGAACAGACAGTTCTCAAGATACTTACGTGGTTCTGAATAGTAGTCGAATAAAGATGATACAACAGTTTTATTTGGCTTACGTTTCGGCCTTATCGCCTTCGTCAGAGCCTGGAAAAATCAAAGATCAGGGTGAAACTATCCCTCAAACATCATTTCAAACCTCAGGTAAGTTCACCCCAGACCAGAAGGGTCCAGAAACCTGTCATAGGTTACAACCACAACATGACTCACCTTGAATGTACGGCAGGTTTTTGCTTGAGACCACCGCTAAACTGACTCCCCATGGGTGGCTTCAGCTGACCTAACCCCACGACTGAAGCCGATGGCAACTGAAGCCCACACAGGTCAGCAAACGGGGCGAGCTCGTTTGTGATGGCTAGGCATTCGTCCTTCTTGTTCATTTTGGGGTTTTTAGCGCTTATCCAAAACGCTTCCAAAGTTTTGCGTGCCGAAGTCTGGGGTTCTCGCATCAAAATCCTGACAGTTACCTCAAACTCAACGCCTCCATGACACTGAACACGATGGCTACCCAGGGGGGTCTGTGGCCTAGATTTCCTAAGACCGTCTAGATGTTCCTTCACCCGGGAGCACAGGGGTCGTCCTGTCTCCCCGATGTACTCATCCCCACAACTCGTGCATGACATCAGGTAGATCACACCTGAAGTCCATGCAGTCCCCCTCCCGCCCAGAAGGACATGTAACACACTGTGGGGTTGGGCAGTAGCGATCATATCCGCGGTTGCGGATCAGTTGCTGCTTGAGGCTCACGGGGGATCTCGACCACCCGAACCATATTGTCGAGACCACACCTGCGTAGAGAACCTCTTACAGCAGCGCTGATCGCATCACAAACGAGCTCGCCCCGTTTGCTGACCTGTGTGGGCTTCAGTTGCCATCGGCTTCAGGTCGTGGGGTTAGGTCAGCTGAAGCCACCCATGGGGAGTCAGTTTAGCGGTGGTCTCAACAAAAACCTGCCGTACATTCAAGGTGAGTCGTGTTGTGGTTGTAACCTATGACAGGTTTCTGGACCCTTCTGGTCTGGGGTGAACTTACCTGAGGTTTGAAATGATGTTTGAGGGATAGTTTCACCCTGATCTTTGATTTTTCCAGGCTCTGACGAAGGCGATAAGGCCGAAACGTAAGCCAAATAAAACTGTTGTATCATCTTGGTTCGGCTACCGAACGTGGATGCTTATGAAAGTAGTCGAATATTTGACCCTTGTCCAACAGCTCCATCCAGTCAGACTGCGTTTCCCATTTCACCCTTTGTTTACACTGTTAGCTTTTCATAAAAACTCTTTCATGAAAGCGAAGGCTCTCATCATGTTTCGAGTTTAAACCAATTACCTTACTTCTTTTGACGCTATTGTTCGTGGGATGTGGAGGTATTTCGCAGGTTCGCTGGTTTCTTTCGCTTGTTCCTATCAAATTACTCGGGTAAGACTCATAGATTCTAGCTGAATGGGAATGAAGCTTATGCTATAGCTTAGGTTCACAGGGGTTTAAAGGTCTTCTTGGAGGCATTTGTAGTAACCAATGGGAACCAGCAGGAATGGCCTCATAAAGCCCCAATTACGCCCATATTCCTACTAATCATTCCTACTCCAAAATCAATTTCTATGTTTTCCATAGTTCGTCTTCAGACTCAACTCGTCTCGAATGCCCACGGGTTACGGGTGGCATTTGCACGCTGCGATGCCAGAAAGACAGCGATTGCGCAGGTGAGACCTATTTAGACTAATTTCGGTTGAGAGGGCTCTTTGGTAGCCAGATCAGAATCCACTTTGGAGGACAGGTTTTCTGTTTACTGTTGTTGTCTCTAGAGCCTTTAAAGAGTTTTTAAAATGTCTAAGTGCTATAGCTCTGAAATGGCTTTGGCTTCACATAAGAAACAGCTCGCGGCCTGTGAGCTTTAGCGCCTCCTCCAGCGGGAAGGGAGAAGGGCATTAAGTTCGGAAGTCACCAGCTTCATGGGCTTGAGTTAGTCTCATTTGAGGTGATTCTTGAGACGTGCCTTTGAAAACGTAAATGTGGTCTAGATTGCGAACTGGGACCCTGGAAAGGAATTGTGTTCCTGTGTCTGGTGAGTGAGTCACCTTTGGATGTCCCGTATTGGAAACCCTCGAAAATATTACAGCTGAATTGGCAGCATACTAGAAGAAGCAGCTAAGGGTAAACATTGGGGCGGTGTCAGTCAATCATTGTGCTATCGCACTGGTACAACCCCTCCCCCCCTCGCCCGCCTGCCCCCCTTCAAGTCTGGTTGGGAGAGGGAGTGCATCAATGATCCCGTTTTGCTCTCTAACCTTAGATTATGGCCTGTGCCCCAAATGGCGGCTACTAGTGACCAGAAGACATGTCTTCTATTCGCCGGCTCAAGAAGGACTGACTACCCCAGTAACACGAAATGGCCTCGAAATTGAGCCGGTGACCTACAACTGCTAAATTCAATTACTTGGCCCCAATTTCACCCCATATCCCGAGGATGGGTAGGGCGTGGCTGCACACCTCTTTGGAACGTGAAGTAGAGTGCGCTTCCCTTGGGATACTTTCATTTGACAGCTGTCGTTCTGAGTTGTACTAGACAAAGAATGTCCTGAAACCGCAGTAGCCCACCTAGAAAGCGGCCGCCGCCATTCTCGAATGAAGCACGAAGCCCACGCCCTTTCCAGTTCCGGGGATATGTGTTTATGTTGGAAAAATTGGCTACGCGGCAAATTTTAATGATTGTTTAGAAAAGCACATTTGCTGCTCGAATGGATGCGGCCGTGAGTGTATGTTACCAGCGAGGACTGGCCCGATTCAAAGTGAAATCGAGCCGATTCGACCAGTGGACGGTTGGTGTCATCTTCTCTTCCTCTCTTGCAATTTGTGAAAAACATTAAAAAATATTGTATTGTACATTACGATAAGATTTTGTGATATGAAGTGATATTATGTGATACTATGTGATACGACATTTTACAAAAAGCATTTTCAGGCTCCGGGAGGGGGGGGGTGCCGCACTTGTGAGCGTTCGGCATTCGTGTCGTGTTAACCGCATACATGTAAAAACCGAGCAGTCCTGCCTCATCGTGTAAGTCCTTCAAACTCCTGTCAAGACCTAAAGCTGCGTAGTGGTATATATCCGATATTTCGGAGCCAGCTTTCAAGTTTGGCCATTTTGACAGTTTGACAGGAGTTCACAGGGCGCTTGAGAGGTGGTAACAAGGCTTGCAGGATGTCGCCAAGGTCATCCGGTGCTTACATGTAAACAGTCTACAGGATTTGGTATGCTGACAAGCACCGACAAGTGTGCCCCCCCCCAAGGTTTTTAGTACCTAGTTTTTTCACCATACATCCTTTCCAGCCAAATCATTCCACAATCTGATTACTGCCTTCGGTGGAATTCATCCAGTTTCTCATAGCGCCAAGGTTGTCATTCCAGCCATCGTCAACACCACCATTAGCCCAGTTGTTTTTCATATAGGTCTGTTATTGATTTAGAGACGATCAATCGATAATTGTTGGACGTTAAGGAGTTATTTCGGGCTTTTCAGATAAATCACCTGTCCAGCAATTGAGCCCGATTTCTGTGAAACGAGACAAACCGGGAACGTGTCCACCAGCCGGAGACGAATTGCCATGTAGCGGTCAGTTTTAGACCCTACACTTTGGGCAATGGAATATGTGGTAGCTGGCAGCCCGACATTCCCGGCTCGTCTGCGTCCTCTCACTGAGACATCCGGGTGAGAGGACGCAGACGAGCACAGAAAGTCGTGCCGCCACATCGAGTTATGTTTATATATTTAAACATAATAATTCATACAATATTAATTAGTAATAAGGTGCTGAGGGAACTGGGGAGGGTATACGGCGAGACGAAGCTGTAGCTGTCAACTGTGTTTGTCTGCGCTCTATGAAAAAGCCCCAGGAGGAAGGGAGTCTTTCGGTGAGAGGACGCAGACCAGCAGAGAAGGCCGGACCAACACGTATATTCCCGCCCTCCCCCAAACTTCCTCAGCACCGGTAAAAATAAATTTGAATATCCCTTCGCTGAGAAGTTCTCCCTATTTGAAGCCTATACAAAGTGCAGCGATGATGAGCAATGCCCGGATGTGGAAAAATGCTGCAAGAACGCATGCGGATCAGTATGTGTTGACCCAACGAAGGCGACAAGGTACGTGTTTTAGAGCTAATTATCGATTTTTCTCTCGAAATTTCGGCTTTCAATAGCTTTTTTTCGCCTATGAGCGTGGGGTCTTGTTGGTTGTGAAAGTGTAATTTACGGATTTCAATACTTGTGAATAATTTCTGTGTCAGAAAACAGGTATTGATTTTATGCGCGTGTCATAGAAGAAAAGAAGGCGAAATGAAAATTAGCTTTTCTGTCACAGTTCCCCCCAAATTCCTGGACAGACAAGAGGACAGTTATTGATTTCATGTGCGCGCTGAAAACAAGAAAATTATGTCACCCCCATTTCTATCTCGTATTGGCAGATTTGCGGACCACACCATGCTAAAGGGTCGTTATTGATTTTATGCGCACGTGCTGTTGTGACGATTTTGAAGAGTTCTCTGCATGTTGAAACGCTTTTGATTTCAGATTGCATTCATCTTGTTGTAGCAGTCAAGAAACTTCCCAATCAGAGTCTACACAATGAATACGTTCCTAAGTGTGACGAAAACGGCAAGGTATAGCTTTACCAAAAAGTACCGACGTTCAGGTGTGAGATGTGAACAAAATTTGAACTCCCGGGCGCAGTTCTTGTCCCCACGGCACTCTTCAGAAGTACTCCTGCTGCCAAGCTCTCACTTTTTCTGATCTTCTTAAGTGTCTTTGGCATCGGCCGTGTGCGAGATTTTTTGAGCCAAGGAGACGCAATATTCGTTCTCGGGGGTGGCGGGGGGGGGGAGTAGTTGCACTACCCCCGGATACATAACTTCACTCAAGATTGCCAGTGGGAAAGTTTCGATCAGAATCTGGCCTGGATATTGAAGACTGAGGCAGTGAAGGGTAGATAATGTCATTGTAATGATAATTGCTTTACATCAATCAATCTTTTTAGGATGCGCCGTGCTTTCCACTATGATTTCATATTGTAGAGCCGTTTGAATGCTCATTCAGCCTGTATTCGTGTTTTTAGTTCATGCCAATTCAATGTGATCAGCGCCAGTGTTGGTGTGTTGACGTGAATTACGGTACAGAAATCGCTGGTTCTGCCGTAACGGTAGCTATGAAAAGAGGAGACATGTGCCGAGGTATGGTTGTACCATTGATTTTTCAGAACGAAATTGGTTTTTCTACGGAAAAATCGATCAGCTAAAACCGACATAGATCGATTATGGATTATGTGTGTAGCGATATTTTATCATTGACTTGAAGTGCTCTTTCGATTATTTACACTTGTTGTACTCCGGTGAGGTCAATTGTGATGGTCGGCAGCCCACTTGGCTCGGATGAGGCCCACACATCAACGCAAATAGGATCCTTATTCTGTCATGATGAGAGAGATTAGGGCTAAGTAGGAGCCGATTACTCTTTACCAGTTTTCTAAATCACTTCAAAATGGGGGTGAGGGGAGGAGGGGGAGGATTTTGGTGCTGGAATGGTCAGTGTGCTGAACTTCCGACGGAATCCTGCCTGTTCGACCGGCTGTGCTTCTTCTAGCGTCCTTCGTATGCGCGCCAAAATACAACGTGTGAACACTTTGTAGAGTATTGGAAGGAGCGTGATTGGCCGGTAATTCGTTAGGTCTTCCTTATCGCCTTTCTTAAACAACAGCACGGTTGACGACTCTTTCCAAGCCGTTGGCACCACACTTTCATCCACGTAGCGCGAATACCTTTTGGCAAGAGCTTGGTAAAGCGGATGTCCACAAGCCTGGAGCAGTTCTGCTGTAATTCCATCCTTGCCGGGTGCTTTTCCTTGTGGCATCGTTTGAATTGCATGACGCACCTCCGATGTGAGGAAGGGCAATACTGAACTCCGATCTTGCGGTGATTTTTCACGCTTTCCATTGGGGAGATCCGATTTGAAGAGGGTTGTATAGAACGTCTTCAGAATCTGCTCCATCTCTGCTATCGATGCGCAACGAGACCCGTCTTCGGCTTTGAGACACTGGATCATCAAGCGGTGCTCTGCTATATTCCTCCTAGCTCTCTTGAGGCTTCGTCTTTTCTCCGCTTCACGTAGAAGCCTTGACCGGGCGAAGCTTGCGTGGTCTTCGGCGATTCGCCGTCTGCACAACCTGGATAGAAGCGTGTACTCCAAGTGATTTCTTGGCGATCGATATTCCTTCGTTTTTCGAGCAGCGCACGAGTAGAAGACGATATACGACGAGTGGTGTGGTTCGGGGCCACGTCACGACAGCGTTCTGCAAGTTTTTTCACTGTTTCAACGAGTCTTTGGTAATCTTCGTCGATATCGTCCGCCATTTCAAATGATTCTGTGCTCGCTAATCCTGCTGCTAATTCCGCATTCAACACTGTCTGGGGGCATGCTTGTCTTGAGCGTACGCGTATCGTTCGCATGAGGCCTCGCTCGAAGTGGAATCGTGCTCGTAGAAGGCGATGGTCGCTTCCAGTGTTGAAGGAGGAACAACAGCGACATCAGTTGCGACCCTTCGATTGTACAGCACGTGGTCGATTTCATGAAAGTGCTGCCCATTCGGAGATACGTAAGTCCATCTTTTGGAAGCCGCTTTGAGAAACTGACTGTTGCCATGAAAGAGATGGTGCGATTCGCAGAAAGTTTGCTAATCCTTTCTCCTGCATCGTTGCGCTGTTCTGCGGAATGAGGACCGATAAATAATTCACCATCCTTCCGCGATCCGATTCGGGCGTTGAAATCGCCCATCACTATAACATAGCCTTTCTGGCTGTGTACGAGCTCTCGAGTTGATCATAGAAGTCGTTGTGTTCATTCTTCCTCGCAATCTGCTGTCGGCGCGTATACTTGTATAATGGCGATCTGCACATCCTTGGAGATACTGGCATTTAGCAACGCGAAACGATAACCGTAAAACGTAACACTTCGTACATGCTCGCTGAAGTCTGGTGACACAATGAAAGCCAACGCCTCCTGATGTTGAATTGTGCTTGCGGGCTCCTAGGTATACTGACGTCCCATCCATCCATTTGCATGTCAGCGATTCCTTTCTCTTCGTCTCGCTGAGTCCGATTACATGATT